AGTATTACATGTATATACAAATACGCTCACATGGTTTTAGTAAATTGTCATTAAGAGTTGTTTTACTCTTACAGTTCTATTAACAATTAGACAATTTAGAAATATGTAAATCATATAACATGTAATTTAACGTGTCATATAAACATACATGGTTATATAATTATAGATATCATTGTTTTATTGGTAGGAATATTACTTCTTGTTGCAATTTATTGAGACTTGCATCAAAAGTAAATTTAAGAAGGTGAAAATATTTGTTTCGGTTTAACTCTTCTACCAGTTCTAGTATGATAAGGAGTGACTGTTTCAGGCTGAGTGCTTTCTGTGCTTATTGTTGTTTCTTGGCTTAAGACATGTTTCATATCAATTGGTTTCGACTGATAGGTATGCCAACGCCATTATGTTTTTGCATATACTTAAATTGGATGTTTACTGCTGGAGATTTAGTTTCCCAATGGATGCTTCTATTATCAGGTGTAATTTTTAAAGGAGAGGTATTATCTACATGTATGTGTGTGTTTGTGTGTGTGTGTGTGTGTGCGTGCGTGCGTGCGTGCGTGCGTGCGTGTGTGTGTGTGATTCAGGCATCACGCCTTTGTGATTTTGATTAATAATAAGTCCTTGATCTGTGTTAATATGTGGCAACTGATTTAATCTTGAATGCTGATGATAAGCAGCTGTATCACACAGAACATTTTGTGAAGATGGCAATTGATGCTGTATATCAGGCAAACTGCCTTTAAATTCCATATTGTTTGTTGAGTATGAATTTGTGGACACACCCTGTACATGATAATTATCATTGTTTGCAGAAGGTACATGTACCCTACTTTTAAAAACATTTGTGTCAACTATAGGACAGGAGGACTTTGATGCAACTTGTACTTGAGGTTTAGGTGAATTGTACATGTATGTGTAATGCATGTTTTCACTATTTTGAGGGTTTTGCAAAGTCACTGTAGCTTAATAATCACCATACATAGTTTCATTGTTATATGGATTTACTCTCAGTGGTGAACAACTTTGAGTATGTATGTCTTTCTTAAACATTGGTACATAACTTTGATTCGAAGCAGGCTGATTTGGATTACAAATTGTGTTATATGAATCATGTGTAATTGGAGAATCAATAGGTTTCAGTAAAGTTGAAGGTGTATGATTTTTGGAAGAATATAAATCACCCTTTAACACAACACGTGGTATGGAATTTTCATCATGTGAAATGTGTAAGTCAGCTTGACAACTTTTATTATGAAATGTATTCAAGGTCTGATTTTGTGTTACACCCTGTAGGCCATTTGATTCAAGTGTACATGTAATTTGTGTTGGAAGATCCATGTAAGAAGAGGCAGGAGAATACATGTAAGATTGCATTTCATATGTCTGAGAGTTAACAGGATTTCCAATCACTAATTCACCTTCAGTTTTATAATTATGCTGAACAGGAATAACAATAGGTTTATCTTGAATATTAGGTGATGTTGGACAGCTATAAAACTGTGGCTTAGAAATTTGAGTTATTTGTTCAAACTTTAATTCTTTTGATTTATTTGATGGAAAATCATAACACTTTTCAGGTATTAAAACACCCTGTATGCATGTGTCATTTTCGAAAGAAGTCAAATTATCTACAATACCCCTTTCTATTGGACAATTTTCCCAGCCTTGTAACTAAATAGTAGGTTGAGAAATACCTATAAAATCTGAATTTGTATTACACAAATTGAAATTACCATTGTCTTCAATTTTACATTTACTGTGAGATGCCATCTATAGAACTACATCAATGTATTTAATAAAACCCTATAATATATTGATTCAATAAAAATGTACGTATTGTCAACAATTTTCAGAATTATGAGGTAGAAACAATTTATGAATAAGATTTCACTAATTCAGTTCTCAATGGCTACCAAAGTACAAAAAGTAAAATTGAATTTCAAAATAATCTTGGTCACTACGCACCAAATGTAACAGGACGGACAAACGGACACACAGCGATCACAATTAACGTCCTAGTTATTTACCCAGGTTCATTGAAGATTAAATTGAAAATTGAAGAACATAGTCATTTCAGAGTTCAACAGTTTTATTGCAAAATAGATTTTAGATAATCTGTTTCTATGCAAAAGTATTGAATTGATTTCTCAAAATATCACGAAATGAAAATATTATAGTTAAAAAAAAACATCATAGGGAAAATAGAGAGAAATGACCAAGTCAGGTGATAATAGGTATACGCTACCTTTTGCATCTGTAGACAAGGCAATGAAATGACCGAAAATACTGGCTTATATCTCTGCAAATCACACAATTCATGAACAATTCATGACTTGAAAATAAATAACAAAAAGAGGAATGTTACAAAATATTGAGTAAACAATATACAGATTCAATATTCTGCTTTAGAATGTATTGAAGTGTATTACGTTAAATTTAATGAACAACCATCTATTGGATAAAAACCTTACATAAGATATGAATAGCATTAATATCATGAAATAATGCATTAAGTTATGCTTACTGTTACTATAGATAGAAAAATAGTGCCAGCTGAATGATTTTGAAATATTCAAAGATTCAAGATTCAAATAACTTTATTTGTGTTCAAAGGCCTCAGGCCCAAAATACATAGCATACATACAACAATATAGTAATATGGTTGCGTCACCTTAACAATGTTTATTAATGCGTAAAAAGACTAGTTGTTTATGTTATCCATTAAAACATATACATAAAACATAAGCTTCCTTAATGTGATTATATCACGTGTACCTATTAATACATAAAAATCATGTAGTTCTTTTCCGCCAAAATACCAATTGAATAAATACTTATCACGGATTTGTTTGTATTTTTTGCATATAAAGAAAGCATGGAATTCACAATCTATACTATCATTACAAGTTGTACACAAACGTTCTTCCCTTGGGATATTATTATGTCTGCCTATTTCTATACCTAATTTATGGTTGGAGCAACGAAAATTACAAAACGCCTTTTTATGTTATATGGTATTTCTATTAATAAGTATCGTTCAACATTTAAAAGTGATTTAAATTTATTATAGTGAAAACATCTACTAGAATTCGTTATATTTTCATACCATTGTTGAGTACAACAATCAATAAGTCTTTGTTTGAAAAGTTTAAGGAACATATTCGTGTCACCAATTTCTTGAGATATCCAGACAAAACCAAAACCATATCTAAACAGTACATGTTTAACTTTGGTAACCCAACATATTCGACCTACATCGTCTAGTGACTTCAACATAAAATAACACTGTTTAGGATATCTAGATGAAGGCATGGTCAGAAGTTTACAAAAATATCGTATGCAGTTTGTCATGTATGAAATACTTAAGGGCAATCTACCACATTCCCCTAAAACCATAGCTGTATTTGTAGTTTTTTTAACAGATAAATGTTTTCGACAAAAATCATTATGCACATATTCAATAGTTTGGCTATATTCAAAACCCCATATTTGTGATCCATAGCATAAAATTGGTTTAATCATATGATCAAAAATTTTAAACAATTCATTACTTGGAAAATGACCGAAAGGTTTCTGATAATATTTTAACGATAATATTGCCTTTTTGAAAAGATACTAAATGTATTGACAATTAATAAATAAGGCTAAGGAAAATTATCCATTGTTTATATATTATTCTGAAAATGAGATTCTATCAGTAAAATGTAATGATTCCTGCTACATATGTTTCAAAAGTGTGTAAAAACTGTAATTGTTCGAAGTGTATTACTCTTATGATTTGACGAGGTGTTATGTCCTAGAGGCTTTTAATATATTCTCCATCTTTGTTATAAACAAGCATTATCCTTAAAGATATATTAATGCTTTATTTACCAAGAGTCGCGGGCATTTCTAAAAATAGACCAGTGTCGTGTGATATCGTCACAGGAACAAGCACGGAAATTACCCGAAAATGTTTAACTATTTGTATTCTGCACTGTCATGATCTTTTTTGCATCTCTAAAGACTTATTTCCGATTGTCGAACTCATTTTGCATTTACATACAATTTGTTTTCCTAGAGTGTCGAGGCTATGTATGTCAGAAAACATTGGATAAATCTCAATGAACTATTTCAAGTTACCTTACCAATTTATTAAACATCATTATTTGACTAGAGCCTCCTATCTTTAGCGATTTAGACAAGATTTGATTAATTTATACGGTACATATAAGTCCTTTTTAAGATCTATTAAAGTTTGTAATCAAACTAAAATTAAACATCTAGAGCAACTTTATTCTGCCTTCAAAATCTTTTATATATTAAAAAAATTGTAGCAGCAATTGCAAATGATATTTTAATAAAGCAATGTGATTTTCAAATGTATCCTATTCCCTTAATTTTGCTTTATAAACAAACATAACTAATTGCAAAACGACGGAGATACAAGAAATTATTTCAAATTTCATTCAAGTTTGATTATGGATGGATAATATTAGATATGACGCCGGTGACCCAGTGTTAGTTAATATTTCAATTAATAGTTCAGTGAGATTCTCTGTGGGTCCAATTTTGGCGCGAAATTAAGTCGCACCTGTTCCAAACACCGGAAACAAGTAGATTGTTGTTGTTGTTGTCAAAAAATGTAAACAAACCCTACAAATGGCCAAATGATTTGATAATTACAATATATATATTTACACATTTTTAACAACAAATTATAATACATATTAACTTCCCAAATACATTTTAACCATACAAAAAGTCATTCACGATTTTACCCACCAACGACTCAAGGAAAACCCACGACTTAAGGAAAGTACTAAATTTAAGTAAATATGTTATAAGTACACACAAAGAAAACATGTTATGGTCTAGACTCTACATACTTTAAGTAAACAAGGCTTTATCCAGCTGATTATATATCTATATCTGTAAGTGTTCATTTGTCCTGTGCTACATAAACGAGAACGATAGTGAAACAGTTCAAAACCATGCGATAACATTAAGTAAAGTACACGTTAAAATCTTTAAGTATGATTTATCTAGTGACGCTATGGTATTCCAGTTCTATTTTAATTTCATAGATAAATGAAAATAGAAATGTGAAAACCCGTTTGTTACTAAAAACGGCAAATATGTCAATATCTGGCAATCTTAATCCATTCAGTTGAAAGGGCTCCATAAAGTAAGGTAAGTTTTGAACTTTGTTAAAATAATTCGTTGTTTAATTTTAATTTTCATTTCCTCCATTGTATACTGCTGTCTAAGTAAATTATAATTATATTTCTTATTTGTCCACATTTGGTTAGGATAAATGTTAAAATACAGTTTTATTACACTAGATACACTTAACATTTTAGAGAGCTATTTAAAGGAACATGGCTTGAAGTGGCTGCACACTGCTCAAGCTAGAAAAACTGTTGCAAACTTGACAAATTGTCTACCGAGTAATGAATATTAACAACACCGGCACGTACTTTCTACAGGTAAGTGGGTCTGTATGTTATTTTCATTTTTTATATGTCCATTCCTTAAAGCAATGCTTATCACACACTCAGTTTAGCTTACTAGCTTCTGATTTGACGAAGTTATTGAAGATAGAAACTGCTCGTGTATAAAATGACAGCTTTTACAACCCGCATCAAAATGAACTTCAGCATGACACCCATAATAAAAACCTGTAAGTAAATACACTTTATCTGCTCGGTTTGATTAATCTTAAACTTGAAGTTTAAGTAATAGAAAGAGCAACAAAACACGAGGGTACGTGATTTGTACGAAGGAGCGTAGCCCTCGAGTCCCCCGAGTATTAATCAGATTGCCGAGTGTTTTGATGTTCTTTCTTTTTTGTATCATAGTCAAACATAAAAACACGTTCCTGCTGACGCAATATGAACCCGCAGAAAGAAGTAACCAATGAACGAGCATCTGAATATGATATTTCTATAGCTTTTCCTTTCTCTGCCGTCACAATAAGTAGGCTCCAGCAAAAACTAAGCCAATCAACGGTTATGCTTTTGAGTGCGGTTAACTAATACCTGCATAGTTAATACACTGTGCATGTATATATATATATAAGATCTAACTCTTTTTTTTTCAACAAAAAGGTTCTCAAACTATGATACATGATACAAGTTATGTTGTCAAAATAAGATAAAATGTAGTAAATGTACATTGTTCGCTGTGATAACAAAGATAATCGGAAATTATTGCTTGTTTACTTAACATCTCTGTATAAGTCGAAAACGATAACGTTTACATTAATAGGTCGAACCATTATGATATATAATGGGTTGTGCAAGTTATTCAGTTTTAACATTTTGCAATTTTATTTCAATGTAGAATAATAAAAGTGGACATGGACACGTAAATCCGAGTAGCGTAGTGGCTTGTTTAAAATGTTTTTTTTCGAGTTCAAATCTGCAATTGTGCAATATTTATTATTGTTTCACTGTTTTTTTATACTTTCAGAAATCATTGTCATATTATCTTTTATAAACCTTTGATAATTTAATATTTTGAACAATTTAAAGTTAAAATTATATAACGAGTTAGCAAAATGGAATGCATTTGATTTCAACAGTCATTGAGCAGATTAGATATTATTGTCAATTTAATTCTATTTCAAACTCTGAATCTAATTTGCTACATTTTTTTAACAATTTTGGCTCATTTGTATATTTATATATTTTTATTACTCCCATTCCTCATTTATCACTCTTATCACGACTGTGTTGCCTCAAACTTTACCTTTTAAAAGCGAATGTGTGTAAACCAAATCAAATGTTCTCAAATAGCAATGTGTGAAATAAGGTCACGAGGAACCAAAATCCAGTTCGTTGAAAAATATCTAAAAACAAAAAAAATTAAGAAATGAAAAAACACTTTTCAAGAAATATCGAACCAGGGTCTCTACAGTTATTATGTCAACACTCAACCACTACGCTATTACGCTGAACGGATGGAAAATTAGTAATTGTTTAGGTGGTTCAAGATTAAGGCGATAAATAGTATGCTTTTATTTAAGAGTTGTGTCACCCCTATTTGTCAGTATTCATGTAAACAGATAATGAAAGGAATAGCGAGTTCGTTTTGTGGAACATCTTTGATCTTATCATAATAACGTGTGTATCACAGCAAATACATTTTTGTTCATACACATTGGTTAAAGGTCAATTCATGCAATCTCTTGCTTCTTTACGAATTGCCAACAGTACCTATGCATACACTGTTTTAGGAGAGTTTGTCGGAGGTCTTAAACATTTGCTTTTTTGCATAAATAATAACGATCGGTGAAATTTATAAATTTAACTATCAGTTACGTCATTCAATATATCAATAGCAAAGATAAGTCTGAACATGATTTTTCTATCGCTATCCCTTTCCCTGCCCTCACAATAAGTAAACACAAGAAAAAGGGACAATCAATGGTTATGTTCTGGAATGCAGGTAACTATGTACATTGTAATACCTGCACTCCAGTTTACGCACTGCGTATATTTATACGATTTAACTCTGACACATATTCAACAGAAAGGTCCCAAACTATGATTCAATTATTGATAAATGTTTAAATCATCCTTCATTTATGATTTTAAAGAATATGTATATGTTAGTTGAAAACGACCAACATGTTTGTGTTTGTCTCTATTTTCTGCTTGGAATTACAAAACGACTCCGACATTAAAAGCGGCGGTAGTTGATTGATTGCATGAAGTATTGAATGTCATGTCGCCCAAAAAGTCGGACCTACTACATTCAGTTAGTGAGTTTACACATGCGCTTTTCGATAAAAATCCTTAATTATTAAGTTCTCGTACTTTACTTCAGTGTTTTTATATTTTCTGGTCCTTCGGGATCATTGTTGCCAGCACTATTAAGTGTTGAGAATTGAGTACCGCTCAAGCCGGTGAGGGATGTTGCACTTAAACATTATCCCTTATGTATAGACTCAATCAAACCGAGTCTGCAATTTTCATATAATTTGTTGTGATTAATGCTTCCGAAGGGATCACTTTGTTTCAAGATTTTTAGTTTATCAGTGGCAAATTTGTCTCTGTCTAAACAATAAAAAAGGACCTTTTGTAAATTGGAGCGATTTCACTGGTCGGCAAATGATGTTGAACACTAAGTATATTAAAAGTTCGTATAACAAACAATATACTAATTAATGCGTAATATATCATCTTCACAAGAAGAAATATCACACTTAAATACATTATGCTCAACACACGCATTATTAAGCAAGCATTGTAATGTGCATACGACGCAGTCTGAACGTAGACACAACGTCTTATGCGTTGACGTCAAAATATACATAATTGCAGCTGTACGCAAAATAAGATCGATGCTATATAACCCATTTGGTCAATTATATTTATTATGTTAATATTTTTAAATCTTTTAGATTAAGGGCAACTGGACCGCCAACTTAACGAAAATGCTGAAATCATAAAGTTATCTTAAAGTACCGTTTTCTTTTACATCTTTTCATCAATAAGAATTGTCCAAAGAACTGTTTTTATTGTTTAATAACATATCTCCGACTTCTCAAACTCCACGCTACTGGGCCGTAAGGCCGACAACTTCACGTCACTGGGTCGCTATGCCGCCAACTTCACGCCGCTAGGTCGCTAACTTAACGTCGCTAGGCCTCTGGGCAGCTAGATTTATGAATAATAATAATTATCTTACAATATTAGAAATATGCCTTTCCTTATGTTTAGTATATGTGTTCCCAAGATTATATTTTAAAATAATAATTAAATACATGTAGTTATAAGTCGCGACAATCCTACCAAGCCTGCCACAGTCACGGTGAGCAGTTGAAACTGAACAGCCTTCGACTGCGAGAAACTACTTAACAGCTAATACTGACACAAAAACCAATTTTAAAGTATTGTCCATTCTTCCGTCCGTCCGTCCGGTTGTCCGTCTTTCCGCTTTTGATGTTCGGGACTTAACTTTGTAACAACAAGGGCTATCAACATGAAACTTTGTAAGTAGATATATCTCGTTAAGAAGATGTGCATTGTACAAGAACCGTAACTTTGCATTGCCTAATTATGGAGTTATGGTCCGTTGTTCATTTTTACATTCTGAACTTTGTCTGGGTAATAACTTTGACACCATAAGAGATATGAACAAGAAACGTTGTAGTTAGATGAATTGGGTAGATGTGCAGTCATAAGAACCGTAACTCTGCCTTGCTTAATATTGGAGTTCGTGCCTTTTGTTCATTTTATACATTGAACAGTGTCCGGGACATAACTCTGTAACTATAAAAGATATCAAATTGAAACTTTGTATGTAGATAGATCTCATTAGGAGAAATGTAGTACAAAGAAACATAACTCTTCATTGCCTAATTTTGTAGTTATTGCCCTTTGGTCATATTTACATTTTAAACTTTGTCCGGGCAATAACTTTGACACTATAAGAGATAGATCTGAACTAGGTAAATAGATATCATTGGGTAGGTGAGCTGTGCAAAGAACAGTTTGTCTGTCTTGCCTAAGTTTGGAATTATTGCACTTTGAACTTTGTCGGTGACATAACTCTGAAACTACAAGAGGTATACTTTTCTGTGTCAAAAACCTATTCGGGGTGCATCACCCGATTCTACCGGTTCTTGTTTTTCAGAGGTATTACATTTTCCAACACATAAGGGTGGTATTACATTTACCAACACAAAAGGGTAAACCTATTTAAGATTTTTTAACAATGTTCATTTATATATAAGCATGTGAAAAACGTTTTTATATTATTTTGTAGGATGGCAGACAACTATTATCGACTGGTGACATTTGTCGTGAATATCTGCCCGAAACCTTTAAGAGCCTTTTTTGTCTCTAAGGCAGAATCCGATCCAAACCATATCTATACTGGCGTGAAAGAATATCTACAAATTCGGGAATCTGATATCAGAAAGATACGGCAAATCAGACCAGATCAACTTGATCTGATTTATCCACCTTTTGGGTCTGTTGATATAGAAAATTGGGACGCTACTCTGCTGATACTTTTGCTTAAGGAATTGTTTCCAAAACGATTACAACAAAATGAAAGAGACTGCCTCCGCGATATAACTGAGATAAGAAACAGTTTACAACATATTGCAAGCACTGAACTTGTAACTGACCAACAATTCAACAAAATATGGGACTGCCTGAGAGATGCTGTTGTGAAGTTAAAGACGCTATCAGGGTCAACGACATTAGTCGCCATAGATGACGAAATTAAATCAGTATTACATGGTAACATGCCATCTCTTGCAGATGTGCGTAATACATGGCTAAAGTCTCTTTACTATGAACTTTTGTTACAAAACTCGGAACTTGCCGAGGAAATGAAAAATCTGAAAGAAAAACTCCAGTTGCAGCATACAGAACTTACGAAAGAAGTAATAACTGCAAAAGAAAACTCTAGAGGATCAAAAAAGATTTTAACAAAAGTAGCTGTTAAAAGGAAGGGACGCTCAGGTATATATAAATTCCTGTTAAGATTGTTTGATGTTAACAAAATATTGTTTATTTCTTAAGCTTTTGTAACGCATTAACAATTGTTTATCTAATTAAGACACTATTTTGTCTCAGCATGCATAGTACGAAAAACTAACGCGAGTATTTCTTTTCAGGTGTTGCTGAAAAAAGATTAAAAGTTTTTGATGATAAAATAGATCGAATGAAAGGTAAAACATTTTCACCTTTTCATGTATTAATATCTGCCTGCTTAGATCAGTAGCGAGAACAACAGAATTGAAATTCAGGGGTCGCTGGTTCGACCATTTGGAGAGGCAAAATCTCGCCATGACAACTTTTCACGTATAATGATCATCATCGGATGGCCCAATAGCATAAGTTTGTTTACCTTCTCCCTGATACAGCTACTTTTTAACAATTCATTCATACACATTAACTTCTGATATATGGTATACTTCAGGTAGATATTTCTATGTGGTTTATTCTCAACGGACCACTTACTAGTCCTTACTTATATCGCCCCTACATAGCCGTTTAGTTTATTTTGTTTTAGTATAATGTTCTTCAAATATTGGTCGGTTTATCGATTTGTTGATCAATCGGTCTACGGGTCGGTAGTCTAGACCATTTCGTTTCTGCTCAGTAACAAGAGAACGATTTTACCCACAACCTTCTAACTTTATAGGATGTTCACCCTTCAGTCAAAGATGCCTATTGTTTTGGGGGTTTTCGATGTATAAAGGTAACGGTCGCAGTGACCTTGAGTGTGAAAACTTTTTCCGCCCAATAAAAAGAGCCTCATTGCATCCACAGCCTTCAAACTTCGTAGGATGTTTACCCTCATTCACTCAAATACCCTATTGTTTTTTGGCACTGATGCGTGAAGGGCAAGGCAACTGTGGTCTTGAAAGTGAAAAGCATAACCGCTCAATAACATGATACCATATTACCTACAACCTACAAACTTCATACGAATATCACCAATATTCAGTAGCAGAGCGACCCCTAAAGTTTTAGCCACAGATGTTTGAAGGTCAACGTCACATTGACCTTTATTGTGAAAACTGTTTCTGCTGAAAATGCTGGAGAATCATTTGACATACAGCTTTCACACTATCTACTAAATTACTTAAAAACAAATGGCCCATAGCCTTCATAGAACATAGGACAATCACCCTCATTGATTAGAAAAAAATGTTTATTATTTTTGGCAAAGGTACATAAAGGTCAAGGTCAAGGTGACCCTGACTGTGAAAACTCGGAAAAAAAACAAACATTGTTTTTAAGTTTCTTAAAAGAGTTTGCCTCTATTTAATTTAATATTTTTTTAGCATTATAAATATTTATAACATATGATTAATTTAAGATGTATATGAAAAATGTCATAGTCTTTTTTATCTTGATTGGCCAAGAAACTAAACACATTTATATTGCACCGACTAAAGGAGTGAAAACGTTAACCACTTAAATCACAGTTATGTCTTATGTCGTTCTTATCGTTTTGACATATTATTTATCATCTTTTCGCTGAGAAACAGTTTTATATTTACAAAAAAAAAAGAAGAACAATAATGCTAGGTGAATATGATTATATTCAAGTGTATTAATCAATAGGCTTGTATCATATTGCATTAGAACATGACTGTGTACCTTTTTTCTTATTCACAAATACACACCATTACATAATAAGTTTAACTGTGCCTTTCATAATGTGAAGTGGGACGCATCTGTGTCATTTTGGGATGTTTTTGTTCTCTTTTGGGTGTTTTTTGTTTTGTTTCTTATCAAATAATTTCACATCCTTTATTTCAGTTTAAAATTTAATATCTTATTTCCTATATTAGTGTGTCCACACGAAGAAACAATTTCTTAAACTTTCAGGTAAACTCACGAGAGCACTGTTAGAAGAAAATGACTGCAAAGAAAATTTCAAGCACGCAATTTCCGAGATTTTACAACAGCTAACCGATAACCATCGTGTGATTGTGACCGGTTTTGACAACAAATTAACGTACAAATGTGCACTTGCCGCCGTACAAGAACGAAAATACGACCGAATTGACCAAGTTTTAGAAATAAACAATCCGTCAGACTGGAAAAGAATTTGCTCAGAAGATGCACAGTTTGTCCTGTTTCGGGAACCGTTTGGGGTATCAACTTATGATTCTCACAAAGTTGAAGTGATGTGTGAAGAATTTGACAGTATGATACAAGCATCTGATGACGATAATGATGATGTCATTGATATCGTCATAGTAACCAACCAAAGGCTCCTGAATGAGGTGACTAGACGTAATGAACATGAGATGCTATCACCATCTTCGACCGTATACATAGATTCTACAGCGGGTAAATCAACAGGTAGCTATGGTTGTCTTCCATTCTTACCGAAAACAAAAGTTGTAGTAGAGTTTTAAGAGAGTCCAATACTCGCTTAAAATAAAAACTTTTTTTATAGATCCAACTTTGGTGTTCCTCGTGCATTAATAATTAACAAAGTAAAAGAAAAGGCTAGGTTAAAGCGATGTTGAAAACTGCCCTATCAATGAAACATCATGATTCGTAATAGGTTAGTTAAGGGAATGTTTTTAAGTAAAACAAACACATTTTGGCTTTCAAAACTATATTCTTCTATCCATGGCAACACAGATTCACATACTTAAAATAATATTATTTCTTCATTAAAGGCATAGATTCATATGTGTTCCTTTATTTATAAAATATTGCATTTAAAGTGACATTATGTTCATATTTTCATTGTAAAGTTGATCTGAGTTGACATTATATTTCAAAAGATTGACTGTTTAGATGATGTTTGACCAACAGATTATATTGAGAAAATGAGAATATTTTGTAATTTCATAAATACAAACTGATCTACAGAGTGCTTTGTGTTGCCTATAGTTCAGATTAAAATTTCCTCATTATTATTATTTCAATGATTATAATTTAACTGTAATGATTCTGCTATCATTACTCAATACTGCTATATGTTTTATTCAAGTAAATCTATTATTATTACTTTAGATATACTTCTGTAATAATGTCAGTAATACTATTAAATCATTAGAATATACGACTTAACCTTATATTAACTAAGGCATTATGTTTTAACAATTTTGTGGTATGAAATGAATGTGATTTTTACTGTACAGAAATATTTCCATGTTAAAGTGTCTTTTAGTTTTTTATAATATGCTTTATGTACAGATATTCTAGTTTTATTGAATTTGCATCTATGTGAAATAAATACTTTGTCATCATGACTCGTTTACATATTTAGATATATACATGTATATTACAGACGGGAACATAACAGCGGACGACACTGTCCACGGAAACCTTCTTGGTAAGTCTATAAATAAGATATCACAATATTTTAACTGGAATAGAGATGAAAATCAACTGAAGTTGAAGTTACAGTAACTTAAGTTGAACGTCATTTATTATGATAAATGTTTCAGATTTGATAGAAAAACGGGTTGATTAGAAACACCTTAGACATAAAGCTTACTGATTACAAACACACATCGGAAAGAATAAAAGAATATGCTTAAATGTCCGTTAATATATCCGAAGCTTTATCTTCTAAGGTTAAGGTAACCATTTTTCATTTGTAAAGTTAACGTGCATTTCTATGTTTTGTACTTTTCTAAAGGAATTGTTATATTTTTGTAGAAATGTCAAGGATGTTCAAGAAGGGATATAAGTTAAAAGAAGTCAACAGTAAAGCGAAAGAAAAGGCAGAAAGTCTCTTCTTAAAGCACAGTATGGTGGTCATTGTTGGACCAACTGGAAGTGGAAAAATGAGCCTTTCATTTGAGTTGTTGTCCTCGTACGACCTCAGCAATGGAGAAGATAATTTTCTCGTTATCTCTGACCCAGGCGAGTTGAAGTATATCAAGTTCTCGTTACGTCCGGTTATCATAATCAAAATTTATGGTCAAGCGAGTAAGTGGTACAGTCAGTTTGACAGACTGTATGCAGCGGTAAAGGCACGCCAGATAGCCGTTATCACAACTATAGGATTGAAGACGTTTCAAATGATGCCGGCAAATATGCTGTCACATCCAGTCTTAGAGCATGTTGTGCGCATGCCAGGAAGTGAAGGTTTGAATGAAGGTAATCTATAAGGAACTTTTCTTTCAAGCAATGGTCGGATTTAAGTATCTCATAGCAATCTAGCACTATTATTACAATACTCAATTGGGTATCCATATAACAAAGTTGTAGTTATTTAATATCTATACTGTATATATATATATATATATATATATATATATATATATATATATATATATATATATATATTATATGAATCAGGAGTTAGGTCGAATTAGGTCATTTATATGAGAAATAACATTTTAAAGTCGAATTTCTAATTTTAGAATTTATTTGAATTTAAAACGTTCTTTAAAACAAAAAAATACACAAAATTCAAGCAAGTAATTTGACGAACAACATGGCTGTGTTTATATTGTCTTAACTGTTACGAGTTACAAAATCGGTATTTTTTTCTAATTAATTGTTTAACCTTACGTTATCGTATAATAATAATTCTACCTCACGTAAAACTATTTATGATTTGGTACTTAGGTTGATTTGTACAATTGTTTGACATTATGACTATATATTAACAATAAATTTTGTACGACTATCAGTACTACTTTATAATACTGTCACAACAGACTTTATTCGAATTGAATGTGCCACTGGGTATATAAAATTAGTTCTTAGCGCAAAATTTATCCATTTATATAAATGAAAATTTCGGATAAATACAAAATATAAAATATATGATATTATTCCATCATATATATTTCTTTTAGCAAAAGCAGACTAATGTCGAACAAATTATAAAATGCAAAGAT